ATGAAGGAAACAGATGAAGGAAGTTCATCATATGGTAAAGGCAAGCTCACTGTACCTCAAACTGTTGATTCCTCATGAAGTTGAGGGCCTCTTTGATCTTGGCAATCGTGCTGGGGCCTTTCCTGCTGAAGTTTGTGGTCGTTCCCCTGTCTAGATAATCTGTGCTCTCCTGTTTAACGTCACAGAAAAAAACAATTTTGTTAAATAATAACCAGAGGATAGATCTAATTCAAATCTACTGCTTTGTCCCAGGACAGGGGAATCTAAGCAGGTATGATGACTGAAAATCTGAGAAGGTTTTTTGTGTTCTATGTGTGTGCATAAGTGTGTATGACAAAGGTCGTACCTGCATGGATATGGTAAGAGTGGAGAAGCCATGTCTGAAGATCCACTCGGCTTCCTCCTCCAGCTCATCATCCTCAGCGGGTTTAACTGGGATGGATCGTAACTACAAGGTCGTCCACAGAGTCAAGAAGATAGTCAAAGAGAAAGCAGTCATTATGAATCAATATGGTCCATATCAAAATGTAACAACAGTGCTAAAACACAGATGAACACACACTCACACACTCTCACACACACACACACACACACACACACACACACACACCTGGAACCTCTCAGGCATGTCTGTAGAGCGGATCTCATTGTCCTGGTCGGTCATGTGACTGCTTTCCAGCTCACTGGGCTCGTAGATCTCAAAGATGCTCTTCCTCCCCTGCCTCCTCTTGGTCTGTTTTTTGGGTCTGTCCCAGCCCTCCTCATCCTGGTCCTCTTCCTCCTCCTCACCCTGGTCGTAAGCATCCGCGTCAAAGTCAGCAAAGTCGAAGTCGCCACCGAAAATCTCCTGGGCCTCCTGCAGGGCTCTGTGGAGGGTGAACAGGGACAAGGAAAATGGCGGTGATTATGTATTTTTCTTAAATCATGTCTTAAAGCAACTCGCCATTTCACGTTTATTGTCTCATTGTTTCATGATGTCTATCAATATTTTGTATCGATGGATTGGGGTGACTCTTGAGTCCTACTAGATCATTTCATGCCCAGAAAAAGGAGGTGAGAACAAGAGGAAAAAAAGCTTCTTCTCCTAGAGACACCAACAGATTTCCTGTATAAATTACAACACTTACGCGTCTGTGTAGCCTGAGAACTTCTTGCCCCTCTTTTTCGTGATGGGTTGGCCATCATCATCCACAATAAAATCGTCAATATCTGTGGACCAAAAGCATGAATTTAAAAAAGAATCAATTTCAAACCACATCATTTTTAAATCAAATAATAATAACTAATTATTAATCCTTCTGGCCTACCTGACTCCTCGTCCTCTCCTTCTTCGTCGTCATCTGCGTGATGGAGAGGTTCATCCACAGCCTCTCCTTCCTCCAGCTCACCCTCTCCGTCCCCATGAAAGATCTCATCTGCGATTAAGTCCTTCTCATCATCATCTTCTTCATCATCATCCAGTGTTTTTACACGGTCATATTTCTTCTTCTGTAACACAAGACATGTAAAGGTGACATGAAAATGACATGAAAGTGCTGGAAGTCAGGCAAAATGTAGGAGGCTAAAAGCAAACGGGTTACTATAAAGAGAACATAGTGATGAGAGATGATTCTTACCCTCCTTTTCACTTTAACACCCAAGTTTTCCTCAATAAGGTCGAGATCATCGTCATCTAGGTAGTCGTCATAATCTGCAAAGAGGAAAAGTCTCAGTGAGAGGAAACAACTTCAAGACATGTTGCATTTCCACCTCTGTAATAACAGGGCTCTTGTTCTTACATGACACTTGGGATTATTCAGTGAGGAAATCAAATGTTGAGGAACAGGAACGGCAAAAAAATGAAATATACATCATGATTCTTTTTTTTTTTTAGATATGGCCACTTTATACCGAAATGACTCCATATAAATAAATGAATCCATATTTTCAATCTGCACATCAGCTGAAGGCAATTTGTATTTATTTACTGTGCTCAAACAATTCAGATTCAATTCAAATTCAGATTAAAAGACACATTAACTTTCTTTGATGATGAAAAAAAATATGACTGACTAGGATTATACACCATATCAGCAGAGAACTATCCACAAGCCCAGGTTATTGCAACCAATATGTGGGTGCATCTGGCTCCACAACAAATGGAGTTGAAAGCAGGAGGATCAGAAAAAGGGGCCATCTGTTGTTTTACCTGCCCAACAGATGTTGTATTCTATTATTTTGTCTCACTTTTAAATCTACTGTTCAGCATAGTCCATTTACAAAAGTAAGACTCAGAGTATTAAAAAAGACTATAATAACACTTAATTGCAGTATTGGTTTTGTCCGTTTTCCTTTCCATATAACAGTTGTACATCATCCATAGATTGTTTTGGCCTCCTATGTCACTCAGTGGTATGCCAGAAAAATCTGACATCAGTGCTTCCCTTTATTGATTTACTGCTCAAGGTGAACATGTCATTTATCGAAGTGATGAGGTAATACGGCACTGTTGCTGTCAACCAGAAAGGCGTGTCTCTTCAAACCCAGACAAAATTCATCGACAACAGAGTGGGGAGACTCCAACAGTAAATGTGATGTTTTGGCTTCCTCACAGAGTGAGAAGCCATTTTACTAAACCATATAGTACAACTATGGCCAATTATTGCAGTGAGAGAACACTCATACAGACAATGAACAGCACTTATGATTTTTTTTTTTTTTTTTTTGCTGGGGCTGATTGAGGAATGTGGATGTGCATGAAAACAGATTCAAACAGAAAGTGGTGTTTAATCACAACCTACCACCACTCACTGTATGATGGCTGAGACCCTTTTAAAAAAAACCTGATGAACTTACTTCGCTTTTTACGTCGATGCCTCACTTCTTCCTCTGAGTCACTCCCCCCTCCACTTGCACTTTTTTCACGTTCTTCTTCCTCCTCTTCCCCCTCCTCATCTCCATCATCAATGAGTCCGCGTAGATTTCCTTGCTCATCCTGGTCCTCTGTGTTCTCCTCTTCTTCCTCTTCATCTGTTGATAAATTACAGATAAGTAGTCCACATGTCATACAACCCCACCTCTAAAAACACACACCCCAAATTAAAAACTTCAATTCTTACCATCTTCCTGCATAAACCTCTGGGTCTTTTTAGGCTTTAGGTCTTTCTCTTCAAACTCCTCTTCTGACTCCTCTGCCTCGCTCTCAATGAAGTCCGACATCACTGCTGTTCCTGAACAGAAGTTCAAGATTCTGTTAATAAACTTTCTCAGCATCATCCAAGCACTACTTTGTTCTCCAAGGCCAAACACACAATAAGTCATACCTTATGTTCTACAACATTATGCTGTAATTGCAATTTCACTCCTAGACATCCAGTTCCCTTTAATTTTCCATTTAAGCAGCGTTAAAGTTGGAAAAAACGTCCTATTTTGCACTAACAGTATTACATATACAACTACATATTCCTTATTGCTTTGTTCCAGCTTCATTAATGTTATATGATTGCATTGTGTGAAATACCCAAAACCAAGACACTTTTTTTTATGGCTGCACCATCCCAGCAAATGGAAATACGCCAGATGTATTGTGCATCATTATGTGTGTTTGACAAATATACACCCAGTCATATTTGGTACCTTAACTTTAATATCTCCTCCAGGATTTAAAATTAAGTTATGTGGGTTTGAACAATGTCTGGCTGCAAAACATAAGATTTCGCTGATTGGGAAGAGGTCAACCATGTCTTTGACTATGCATAATATGTGTTGTCCTGTCACACAAGATGTATGATATTGTGCTACGGGACTAATTAAAAGCATCTGAGGATATGTAAGAGGCAAACATACAAATGCACGGAATTAATTATGAAAGCCGTTCTTTGTGGTACATTCACAAAATACGTTTGATGCATACTATATTATTGACCACATTAAAAATAAAAGTTAAAGTTAAATAATAATAATCGTGGATGTTCATATTTGTATTTGACCTGGTGATAGATTTCATTCTGTCGTGTTAAAGGAAAGCTACACTTAGATGGCAAGATGAAAAAAAACTATACCTAACGATGTCGCAATGCGCACACACAACATGGACGGATGTGGCCAACCAAACACATTACCCTCTTTCGATGTAGCGGTAAACAATGTTATCTAGGTGATATATTTAAATTATTTGATGCCGTCAATCAAAACCCATGAAGGTTATATTGCAAATTCTGCTCAATAACCTTAGCTGTGCGCTAGCAACACCAACTAGGCTGTTACCTGTGCAATGCGATGCAATTTAGCTAACGAGCAACCTTTTGCCAATTAGCTGATATAACATTTTCACGCTTTCCCCTTTGAGCTATGCGATGCATAAAAAAACAACTAAGCTGCTGATAAAAGAACAACCGAACCAAATGCACCGTTGTAAAAACAAACCAAGGCCTCTGCGCCAACTTCGCAATCTAACGTTAGTTAAAGCTTTAGCACATCAGTGCGTTAGCCTAGCATTAGCTGTAACGACAACAACAGCTAGCTGCATTAGCCTGAGCTAGTTAACCGCTGTTGGCTAAGCACAAAATCTAAACATCGCAACTGACCACGATGAAATTGGACTTACACGTCTCACTGCGGCGGTAAACTCCGTTAATATTTACAGTAATAACGGGATTGTGTTGTGTTTTGTGTTTCGGGGAGCTTGTACTTGTAAAAAAAAAAAGGCCGAGAGCGAGCGGCGTGATGACAATTCCGGGATGCTGTGAGGGAACTTCCAACCTTTTCAGCAGCAAGGTGACGCCACCTGCTGGTTCACCTCTGTTCTACATAAAAGGAAACGATTAAAAAAGACGGCATGTTAATATTTAGTGGCAATGTTGTCTTGTTATCATAAATATCAAAATATCTTACCGCGACGCCAGATAAACCGGAAAAAAATCAAAAACCCCCAAAACGATTCGTATAGTGACCATTCCGAGACGCTAGGGGCGCTGTCTCTCTAACTTCACACTGGCATATTGTACCACTTTAATGACGTAGCGAAAAAATAATACAAATCTGAGTGAGGTATCGGTGGCTCGGTTTTCAGTAGGAATGGATAAATTAAACTGTTCTTTTCTTCCACGCTTTCAACCAACCCTTTTATTATTGCTATCGTGTATATTTGGGTTGTCACTCGGTACGGAGCTGAGTTTTGTGACATGCGGTTCAGTCGTTAAACTGTTAAATCTAAAGCACAATGTGAGACTACACTCCCACGACGTACGCTACGGGTCTGGTGAGTTTCCTCATTAATAATAAGTATTAAGCCTTAACAAACATTTGCATCATGTTTTTCAGTAACATTATCTTAATTTACCTTTACCCACCTCTGTTGTTAAGATTATATTGTTGGATAAACATTGGAAACGTGTGACTGTATGCTCAAAGGTTTGCAGTGTTATATACCGGTAATTCATATTGACTACACAATTGTAGTTGCAAATAAAAAATGAATACAGTGTATGAATAACATTAACATAATCTTGTTCCTTCACTAAGAAATCTTTATAGTTTAAAGTTTGGAGCAGTAGTGAGCAATTGCAGCTGGATTTAACATCCACAACAGTTTTAACTAACCATTCATTGTTTGACTCACTTTAGATGAGGATATAAGAAGGGGGGGACTTTAAATCACACACAATTACAACATGTCAATGATGCCACAATTAAGTCCAACACTTATTTCTATTCTGGTCCTTGAAGTAAAGGTAGGAAAGATGCAGGAGTCTAGGTGGCCTCATATTTCCAACAAACCCCTAAAATAAATACCTGAATTAAAAACAATAAAATCTCCAATTCACACTGTAAAAAATCTGTTATAAAATTGAACACAAGTAGGGCTGAACAATTAATTGAAATATAATAGAAATTGCAATATGGCCAAGGGCAATATCCAAATCGCAGGAGCAATAATTTTTTTGATAAAGGTAAAATGTGTGAGAACATAACATAAATTAAACATTGTGGTGCCAACAACAGCAAACAAAATTCACATCATCATCATTTTTTCAGTGGAGATCAAATGCAGAAATGACCGTTTCAACTGAAATCATGACACATATTGCGATATCTGCCAAAATAATCGCAGTCTTTTTTCTTTTTTTTTGCACATTGTTTTTTTATTGTATTGTATTGCCCTACATACAAATTATAAGTAGGATAATGTGCTCACATTTCCAAGTTGCCCATAAGCATTTGACCCAATTCCAGGAGCCAGAGAACAAGAATACATCAACAAAGCCTCAGTAAGCACAAGTTATTAACAGTAGCTCTGGTGGGCTTGATTTTTCCCAACTTCACAAATGTGTTCTTTGAGATACTCTGAAATGCTGTGTTGTTATATACCACACTAAGTTGTATTGGTTTGATTCTATCCTTCAAAGTTGACCACCAATGAGTGCCGTTAGGGTGAGCCCTCAGATATAAAGTGAAACTCAACACAACTCAGAGTTACTCCTTCATCAATTAAATTAACTGTTTTTCGGCAAAACCATAGTTTTGCTGATCACTTTCCTCATGTCTGTTCTTTTTGAGCATCACTGTAACGCTCCTCTGCTCACTGTGTGTGTCTGTGTGTGTGAGACAGGTAGCGGGCAGCAGTCTGTAACAGGGGTTACTGCAGTGGAAGACAGTAACAGCTACTGGAGTGTTCGTGGGACAAGTGACGCCTTCTGCCATCGGGGTACCCCAGTAAAGTGTGGACAGACGATCCGCCTCACCCATGTCAACACAGGCCGAAACCTGCACAGCCACTACTTCACCTCCCCGCTGTCCTCTAACCAGGTGGGTGGTGTGTGCCTGCAGAGATTGGGAAAGGATGTCAATGTCTAAGAGATGGTTTTAAGATATGCCGGCTAATTCAAAAAAGCTGATTATGAAAATGTTTGTGAAATGTCTGATAAATCACTACTACCCTGCCAGGTTGAAGTCAGTGAGAAATTACTTGCAGTAATAATACTAATAACTAGTCTGAGAAAATACCAAGAGGTTGAAACCTAGATCAATATTTTGAGGTTAAAGTGAGTTGACAGCAGCTTTTACACTTCAGGAACCAAACAGCCTCTGGTCAGCAAAAACCTCCTTCATCTTGAGGGAGTGTGAAAACAGTGTCTACCCAAAGTGTAATAGGGTTGAATGGTATGTACCGTGAGATATTAGAAATTTATCTCAGGATGTATCAGATGATTGTGGACAATGTTGTATATCAATGAACAGGTCGACTTTATGGCACTTTCTGATTTAAAGGATTTGTCCTCGATAGATTCTTGTCTGACTATTTTATCTCTGAGTAGTTTCTCAAATGAGTTTCCAGTACCATATCATGATTTTTATCGCTATGGCAATATAAAACTGTCACACCACAATAGAAGATTTCACATACATAACCCTCTACAACAGTGTAATATAAACTGTAGTCTGTTTGGCCTCCCTCATCCACTCAAAAACCCTGATGCTACCTTGTATCACTGGTCACTAAAGGGTGTACATCAGTGTAGTTTTGTTGAAGAGACAAGGTGCCAGAGAGTGTCTGACAAAATCAAACATGTCTTAATGTTTAATGTGTTGGGATACCTGGCTTGGTAAATAATTGGGTCTGTGAGAGTTGTTTCTGTTGTACAGAAATTGAAGTCAGCTGATGGTTCCAGGTTAGCTGCAGGAAAAACATAAAGTACATGAAGCAACGTAGGAGATTAAAAAACAAACGTAGGTACAATTCATGTCAGGGATTGTAAAATGGACCCAAAAAGGTTTCACAAAAGCAAGGTGCCTCATCTTCTCTTCTATTCCTTGTCTTCTGATCTCTTTCTCATTTGTCCACAGGAGGTGAGTGCTTTTGGTGAGGAAGGGGAGGGGGACCACCTGGACGAGTGGACAGTTCAATGTGGCGGATCCGTATGGAAACGCGAGGAGGCTGTCCGCTTCCGTCACAAGGCCACTGACGCGCTACTGTCTGTGACAGGGGAGCAGTACGGACGGCCGATCCACGGTCAGAGGGAAGTTCACGCCATGTCGAGCCCCAGCCAGCACAGCTTGTGGAAGGCCATGGAGGGCATCTTCATGAAGCCCAGCGAGAGCCCGGCAGGCAGCCGAGACTACAGTCACCCACACACAGAGTTCTGAGCTTTTCTTCTCCCCTCCTGTCTCTTCTCATTTTCCTCCCTGTCTACCTCTGTTTTCCTACCTCTGTCCCTAATTACATCTGTACCAGCATCCTCCAAACGCATCTCTGTCCCCTGCTATCTTGTCTCATTCTTCTCTCTCATTAACCTTTGACTGTCATCTTTTGAAGAGACTGTGCCAAAGTCTGTCATGCATCAGGCTACAATTACTTCATCTTATCAGTCCAACCTCTCTGACATACAGTAATGTTTTTTAAAAAAAGAATTTCATCTACAAAACATCTGTGGAGATTAATGTGGAAAAGCTATTGAATCTTCCAGCAGCTAACATTATCTGAATAACACTATAATTTGCCTTAACAGGTACAAGAATACACAAAGGTGTTAAAAATGCAGTTTTACTGTGTATTGTTACTCATTACTATGACACTTGGTAACACTTTACATCCAAGAAGAGGTTTTCCTCTCAGCTGTTATTTATTGTTAAATAACTGCTGTTTTTTTGGGCTAAAAAAAAAAGAACATTGTTACACTTGTGCCTTTCTCTTGTTTTGTTTTTTTAAAGAAGTAGTAGGTGTTTACATTGTGGAGCCTTTTAAACCTTGGGAAGCGTAAGAATTTTGTTGTGTTTTTATGGTATTTGTAAGCCATATTCTATTTACACAATAATAAGCAGTGTTACTATGGTAAAATACCTTTTCTTCCCTTTAAGTCAGATTCAGTGTAGCATATAAATGATCCCACACTAACTGACATGAGAGAATAAGCAGTTTTGTCTCTGGTGTTTTTTTAATTTTTAAGTTGCATCACTTAGCTGGATGCTGTTTATTGTCATCGTTCAATCGGTTTCCAAGTGCTGGGAGACTGGTTTTACGCTCATGCTGTCTGTGTATGCATGTGTGTTAGATCAACTCTTAGTTTTAGAGGTTCATGTGATCAACAAAGCTGCGATGAATACCTCACATTAAAAAGATTTTTTTTTTTTTTGCACACCACTGTCAGAGCTCTTTATTGGATGTTATTTGGTCACAACAACAACATCTGAGATAATCTGACTCTGACTCTTCACACTTCTCTCTTTCTGGATGATCACTTGAAATGAATCTCTGATGTCGTCAATGAATGTCCTGATCTTGCCTTCAGAATTTGGCATCATAAATGAACACGATGCTAAGTGCAGACAAAAAAACGCAGTGCTTCTTTTTTATTTGTGTCCCCTTTACTTGATCATTCAGACTATAGTTAAGCAAGTTGGAATTGCCTTGAAAAGTCAAACCCCTTAATTTTACCCACGGAGATGAAAACAGACTAATGGATTTTGCAAGAGAGGCAAGCTAATATGTGCCTGGACCATTACACTTAGTATAATGCCTTGTTTGTCAGCTTAATGGCATGTTTTGGTTCATTATCTGGTGGTTAATGGGGTTCAGATGCATCGGCTGTGAGGTTCCTCTCTCTCGTGTTTGACCTATGCTCCCTATTTTTCATGATTTAGAGTGAGCACTGATGCCAGCGCTGCTCTGCAGGAAACCCCGGGGAACAAGCTGACAAATGTGTAAATTCACCTCCAGCCATCACACACTGCATCAAGCTAAAAAGAGTTTCAAGATACAGATCTAAATTGTGAAGTCTGACTCTGCTGCTGTTGTGATTCACAGCTCCTTTTTGTGCGCTCTGCTAAGAGCATTTGGAAATTGCAGTGAAGGGCGCTCAGTGAAAACCACGCTGTGTTGTAATTCTATTTTTAGGGTTGGTATTTAAAATGACACTGCAATGATGATAACAAGTGACACGTACAGGAACAAGCCTATTTTACACAGAGTTTTATATTTATTAAGAGTCAGTAAAAATATTTGTGCTCACCACCTCACTGTCAGCCAAATGTTATACGTAATTTAGATGCCTCATTTACGAATGTTTCTCTCTTATGTTGCTGGGTAACACTGTTTTGTTATTATTGTGTCATACATGTTGGTCAGAGAATCCCTGCACACATCATCTTTCACAAGTAAACACACATGCCTTATATTTCTATCAAAACAAGGTTTTATTGCATAAACATATATGGATATAATTTTAGATTAAACAGATTAAACTTGTTATTTGCATTTTTAAATATCCATTCAGTTGTTAACTATTGCTGTTTTCTTTCTCCTTTTCTAAGCAGCATGCCAAGGTTGTATTACATATCTGTGTTTAGTTTTTATCTCTATACAATCTACAAGGTAAAAACATGTTTTGGTAAAAACAAATCTCAAAAGCAACTTTCAAAAACATGAAAATCATGAACCGATTCCGTCCTGTTACAGATGTACAGTATAACAATGTAAACTTCAAAAGTGTTGGTAAAAGGTCTTTCAAATGAGTTTCCCTTACATAGCCATGCAAGGATGTCTGAATGGCACAATTATTAGAGAATTGTTAAGAGAAAGTGTGGTCTATGCTGGTTTCAAAAGGACCATGACGCTAATAGACAAAGGTGAAAACATGGTCCGTTGGTCAAATGTCAATGTGCTGAGAATATCAAAGACATAAACTGACTTAACGAGGATAAGTGTAGCATACATTATACAGCAGTTTATACGGGACTATGGGGCAGTGAAAACATTCCATAAAAACCTAATGTGGCTAAAACACACAATATATTGTACTCAGTGTCAAATTGAACCATCCACAGTGAGGCCTACAGACTCTACCCTAGATGATGTGAAACAGACATGATGACGACGACGATGATGATGTGACCTTGTATTTGCATATTTATGAAAATGCCCTCTCCTGCACTCTGATTTGATTAATAGCTGGTAGAAACTAGAAAAAATGGCTATTACAGTATAAATTGGAAAGTCAAATATGTGACAGTAGTACATACATACCTACATTGAAATCAAGGCTGTGCCACCACAAAGAAAGATTAAATGGATTTCCCTGTCTTTCAAAGACACGGAAATCTAAACAACAACATGCATACTGATTTACAGTATAATACATTTTTGCTGTTATACTTGATCTTACAAAGCTATTTTTTTTTTTATTTTAAAAGAAAGCCCTCTCCCCTCTTGCCCTCTTTATACACTTTCTAACACAGACGGCATTTAAACTCACATGGTCGCACATCAGTTTGATTGAAATATCTAGATTTGCTTTCGTCCATCCCAGCAAAAGACGAGAGAGCAAATAATCGCTCCGGGGTATTAATGGGAACGAAACAGTCTCTGATCCAGTGATGTCCAAGGGGAGCACCGTGCAGTTTAGGAATCCACACATGTTAATGTTGTAGCAATGAACACCAACAAATCTGTTTTAAAAGATGGCGTCCACATAGGGCCAGGCAGGTTGGTTGAAATAACTGTCACAATATTAATGAAAATACTTTTAATATCACAAAATCAAAATCACATGAAATCATAGAGATGATGTTCACTGTAACGAACTGATGCTTTAAATGTGTTTTAACATAAACGCAATCTCAGGTAATCTTATTTTGAAATGATAATGTGTTTGAGATTCTTTGTTTGGACAAGAGAATTTTGGAAAACAACGACAGAAAATGAACATATAATCACAATACAATTCCAATGACAGTAGATAAACAGTGACATCTCTTTATTGGCCAGCCCTGCAACCACATAAAAAAAAAAAAAATAATAAAAAAAAAAAATTTTCATCCTCAAATTTAATCTGTGGTTGTCATTGGGATGTTCAACCTCGGGCGGCTCCATTATAAAAGAGGAGTGTGATTGTAAACACCTACAAGGTCTTTTCAAAACTCGTCCCAGTGAGATTTTATAACATGTTAGTGCTCTCAGATCTGAACCATAAAACACAGATACGACCCCAGAAACCATCACAGGCACCACAGCTGACACCTTCAGTCTCTCATCCAATCCTGAGCTGTATACCAGTGCAACAGCACAATTTGGGATGTGGGAAACAAAAACAAACAAAAAGAAAATTCTTGATTTTGCCATTAAAAATAGTGAATGTTCACCAATACAAACCTAACTGCCCTTGTGACACTGACACAACACACATCCAAGCTCAAAATCAGTGCTGTTGTTCTTCACTTTTGAACACCTTGTAAACATGGCTGTTCAAGCATTCAGCTGCAGTTCTCATCTTGACCACCAGGATGCAACCTTTTCCAAGAAAGCAGCCGTAGCAAACAGTAATTCACAGCTCTACTGTATATCCCTGATATATCGCACTAGTTTCTACCCATCATACATTCTGTTGTTTAGAGGAATAATACATTACACAAGCTAAGTAGCACTATATATATATACAGTGAAATCCACGGGAAGCTGGGGTTAGAGTAATGTTTGGTATGGCAGTGTATATACTGGCATGCTTTTTGTGTGGTCTATATTTACCACAATTGGGCAGTATTACAATGAGATGCTGAGGTGAAACATTTTCCCCCCAACACATCACTAAAAATATTTTCTCTCAGCCTCGTCCTGTTATTATTCAAAAACCATATCTCCACTTTCATTGGAGAGATTTGATGTCTCTTGTTTTTTAACCTTTATATATTTGACACCTCTCAGACATCCCGAGCTTGTCTTTTACAGACTCACACAAATGTTGAGTGACCAATCAGTCAATCAATCAGTCAGTACTTAGACTAAAGAGCAGAGATGGTGGGAAAGTGGTGATTCTTAAGTGGTCCCTCACCGATTATTGTGTTGTGCTCCTTGTAGATACACAAAGATTTCAAAGATTAGTGGACTGAGCCGAGGACGCAGACAATTCACAAAAAAAAAAAACTAGGGATGGGAGGGATTTACTATGCATTTAAATACTGTGCCCAACATTCAGTGCCCTCATTCACTCAGTTCACATTCAGCGCAACTTCTCTGGGGTTAATATGCAGTTGTCCATAATAACTGTTGTTTGTTTTTTTTTTTTTAGAATGGCTCAAAGCACCTGATACGCATTTTCGGTAATTAGAAAATTAAGTTTAAAGGGTGGTCTTGGTCTTGAAAACAGCAAAATAAATCCTTCTATTTACTCTCATGATTTATATAAAAACATAATTCTTTTCCAGTTCAGGTTCCATATGACCAGTAAGTCCAGTTACTCTGCATGAAAACAAATATATCTCTTCATTTACTCTCATTGTCTGCTTCTATAAGGTTAAGTTCAAAATAAACTTAAAAAAAAAAGAAAAAAAAAGTCAACTGATTGTTTAGAGAAGTGCTTGGGTTGTGGCTGGTCCAGCTTTGGCTGCAAAGACAAGATGTGAGGTCATGGCTGTTCTGTCCACTCCCCATGCTCACAGTGCAATTGGTTACTCCATGCCGTTCCGCAACATCTGATTGGCTGCGATAAGCATGACACTGATGATGAAAGCCATAGCGAAGGCGCATATCAGGCTTTTCCTGACGCACGTCTGCCGATTCTTCTTCTTAGGATGGACTGGGAGGAGCGAAAGAGAAAAGAAATAAGAGTCAACAGAGTTAACACAAGAAACCATGAAACCATTTTTTGTACTATAAGTTTTTTGAAATTTTAAGTTTAAATATGCAAATTATGCATTATCTAGATAAATATGAGCTAATTTGCATATATTTCCAGGACAGAAATCTGAACATGGATGAAGCCAGGGTCAAGATTTGTGTTCAATATGTTGACATATTAGAGTTAAAGCTTTTTACTGAGGAGATTTTGGATGTCTCCTTTTATCACCCCATAAAACAGAAAACACTGTTAACGGCCATTAAAAAGTCATTTTTCATCATGTTTTTAGGAATAAAATGTTACATAAATCAGGCTGTGAATGATATGTGAACGAACTCCTCCGTAACCTTCAGAATATAGATCAGAATAAAACTGTAAAGTCTGGTGTAAGTGCTACTGAAGTGGAGATTTCTGGCATGGTATGAGAAAAAACTCATTTTGAGAAAACAGTATGTACTGTAAAATTCAATACATTGTCATTAGGAACCACTATTAACAATATTGTGGACAATACAAAGGAAATGACCACATTTGGATCTGACAACACTGTGCAGGCAGAGAGAGAAAGAGCTTTACAATGATGCCTATGATGACATGGCACAGACAGTAATTGTGATGCTGCATGTTGCGTTAGAAAACTAACTTTTGGTGAAATTAGGAGAAATCTACAGACGCATACAGACAAAGTGCAGTAAAATAAACACCTAAATGTGTATTTTGGAGTTTTTCTTCCCTCTAGTCTGAATCAAATAAGACATGTTATAGAAGAAAAATAGCCTAAAATCTCAAAATATTTGCCTGTAGTGTCTCGCCTTAATTGACTCATTAGTTTATTGACGTCACATCTGGGCCAACATCTGTTCTACTAGCTTCTGTAACGCAGTGTAAACGATAATTCAGCATTTCCTGGGGTTTCATCATCCATTACAGCAGCTGCCATAAGAAACTGAAACCTTCAAAATTTGAACAAAGTTCAACAACGATTACTTTGTGAACACAGAAAAAAACTATAGCTACCATGAACAAACCACAGTGTGGGAACTTCTTCAATAAACTTTACAGGCATTTCCATAATCCTCAAAGTCTGTGCCTGAATTAGACATTTCAGATTCATGTATAGTGATGGAATTTAAACCTGTTTCTCACAGTGCACCTTCATTCATTGACCCAAACAAATATCGATGACGTAGCAGCAAACATTTGTAGTTGCCATGTTCTGCATCTTATTTCTGTGACCCAGATTATCAGTATCAGAAGTGTCTCTAATGTGAAAAAAGATGAATACATGAAAGGTACAAACTGGCTCTAAAACAAAGCCAAGAGGAGTGAGGGGGAACTTTTGTTCCGCTACCCCTGTTTGGGCTGAAAGGCCTCTTTTCTCCCCCAAAGAGATAATATCTGTAGATTGAAAGAGGATGAGGAGGGAAGACAGATGTGTCCTCCAACAGGCCTCGCAGCGAAAGCAACAACCAAAAGTTTCCTCTCCGTCAGCCCCCTTGTCTCAGTTTGTTAGAATCATACATTGCATCAATAAATCAAGTCACAGCTCTGAGTAGTGGATCTAAGAGGGATTGTGAAAGGCGGTGACGTCCCACTGGACAGGAAGAAGATGGGAGCTGGCATGAAAGAAGGATGTAGAGGATGTGGGAAGAGGGTTAAATGTGGGGAAGCATACAGCTGTCGTTTACCAGAGAGGCTGTACACCTCTTCATCTAGCTCCTTTATCCTCCCCCTGCCTACTTCTCCTCTTTCTACATCTTTCTGCTGTTCCTTTTCCTCTCCCTAATTCCACAGCATGCCCTTCCCTCAACACCAGAAACTTTGAGAAAAGAGTGCCAAGCCAGCAGTTCCCTGATCCCTCCTTTAGCCTCTTATCTCTTCCTTCACTGCCCCTAAGTTTCTCCATTTCCTCCCAGCTCTCTCTTTTTAGGGCTCCCTGAGACTGTAGGCCAGTACCCAATGGATTCATTAAGACTTTCCTAGTTTTTAAGTGCGTTTGATCCGTCTTTACCTTTGTCCTAGTCTGACTTGGTTGAAGTTTCACAGCAGACAGGCAATTTCTAACTCTGGACCATAACTAACTAAGGGTCAGTTTTGGGTTTTCGTTTCCCTCTTCTCCCTCAAGCAACACAACTTATGTCTCAAGAAAAAATCCTTTTGTGTTTCACTTGGGCACGCAAACATTAGCAGCCCATCAACCCTCTCATTCCTGGCTTTGAAACTCAAGGAAATGAATTCATGACCTTGACATTAATAGATTTTTATCATTAAATGTGACATCTGTTTTCTTGATTATGGTTTAACATTCTTGACCTTTCTCTAAGATTCAGCAGCTTACAGATGAAGCTCTGTGGTGGATGATACAGTATCGCGGCTGATTACAACTTTCACCTTACAATTTTGCCAAATAAAACTTAGAAAGTCATTAAAAAATGTCTGTGTGTTTAAAAGTGTTATTTCTTTTCCAATTTTTTAAGAATTTAGAACAAATTTAAACCTGTGTTGCTGGAAGCAGCATAGACTTGTCATTTATTGTTCATCTATAATTCAGCCTTAAAAGAGTGGTCTGACATTTTGTGAAACATGCTTATTTTCTTTCTTGCTGAGAGTCGGATGTGAAGATCAATACCACTGTCAAAAGCTGTGCCCTGAGTTTGGAGCTAGAACCAGGAGGCAATCATCTTAGCTTAGCAAAAAGAATGAAAGCTAGGGGGGAAAGCTAGCTAGCCTATGCAAAGTTCAAATACATGCCTACCAACAGCTCTAAAGCTCGCTAGTTAAAATGATGCATCTTGTATGAAAAGTAAAAATGACAATTTGTGATCTTACGTCGGGTTACGTGCTGATTTGGCTTGTTTCTTGTCATTGTGAGGTTGACAGGCAGCCAGGAGACTGCCGGACTGTTTCCTGATATCAGACTGAACTGCCTCTTTGTTTCACTCTATTCATTCAGCCAGGGTATTTTGTTTTGTTTTGCCCTAACCAGTCAGTAGCAAATGACTGGTCCCATGGACACATTTTCACTTTCAAGAGTTACAACAACCTGTTCAGCTGTATTTATCTCATTGCTGCCACTTTTCTTTTGCTGTTTTTTTGTGGATGTAGCTTGGTAGCTAGGTAGCAGGAAGATGACATCTCTGTTCTTAATCCTCCCAACTAAACTCTGATTGGTCAATTGTCTCTCATAAACAGCATGAAAAGAACAAATTAGAGATGCAATAGAGGTCTGGAAACAGGCCAAGGCTATTATCCATCTTTATGCTAAGCTAATCTGTCAACTGGCACTAGCTCCATTCTTAGTACAGAGTGGTATTGATCTTCTTATCTGATTCTCTGCAAAAGACAAATAAGTGTATTATCAGTAAAAGTTTATTAATGTTTTGGTCATGGATACATTTACTTAGATCAGCGTGAAATCACTGCATACAATATCTTCTGAATTTCAGTACAAAATGAGTTGTTGTGAGCACAGGTAATTATAACAGCAAAGTTTCCATGAGAGTAGCTTCCTCACCTCCCTCATACTCAGGGCAGTTCCCTGAGGTTTCATTGAGGCTCTCCTCCTCGGTGATGATGATGTTCTCTATGTCCTTCATTGTCAGGTGGTCCCGGAAGGCGTGGAACAGCACCTGCTTCAGCTCATCCAGAGACAGCTGCTGCATGTCAAACTGCAGGGGCACACAGCGATCAATGCAGAGACACAGTCATCCATAAACTGGCTTTATGAGGTTAGATAAATATAGACGATAAGAATGTAAGAATGAGGTGTGAAATGTACAAGCTGTGAAAAACGATGGCATCTACATTTGTGCTCTATTGCATAAAATGTGTTGTAAATGTAAGTAAAAAAGATGTCTGTCGTAATGTAATGGCAGCATGTTTGCCAATGCATCACTAGTGCTATTTTTGGGTGACTGAATCAGTATGCAAACCTGTGTATTGCATAAATGTATGCATGCACTATCAGGTTAATGGACATATCAATTAAAATGAAAGTACCGGCACATAACTTCATTGCAGGTGGTTGTATTCTCAGGTGTGTGCGCATGTTCGTGTTTAAAATGATTTATGAGGCTCTGACCAATCACCGACTTGAAATCTGAATATATCTCAGCCTTTGTCCTACTCCCCGTCTGCCCTTCCCAAACATCACATTCTTCCTGCCCGTCCAGCAGATCCCCTCTACAAGCTATATACACACATGCACACACACATAGCATCTTTGTCTAGATTATTTACCTCACTGACGGATTCAAATACAATCAGTCGCTCGGTTTAACACAACAGATGGACATACTGAGGCAGAGAGGAAGAAAATAGGGGGTTGATGGAGTCGAAGAGAGATAGTGTAAGATGGGAAAACAGGAAGTATGGCGAGGTCAGAGAAAACTGAGACGATGGATGTAGTGGGAGACACAGATGGAGAAAACAGAACTGGCAGACAATAGTGGTACAGGGACCTGACAGAGTTGAGATAGTGAAGAAGAGATGCTCATTTCAACAGGGGGATGTTAATCCTGTTCATGCTTTATTGCTATTGCTAAATTCTAAGAACAACATCTTTCATACTCAAACACCTTGGGGAAAACAAATGATATCGTTTCCCAAAGGAAAATTACTAGCGTTGCTGTTGGATTGGATATCGAACCTCAATATTGGTACTGACCAAAATCTGACTATCAGTTATCAAAACCTGACAGTGAATGCTTGGTCAGACTTGTAGTTTATTTTTTCATTACAGGAGTAGTTTGACATTCTGGGAAATAAAAGTGCATATTTGCTCATTTGCTGAGAGTTGGTTGAGAGTCTCATTAGTCACTGAATATGAAGATAAAGCCAAAAGATGTTTAACTTCGCTTAGCACAAAGACTTGAAACAGCTAGCCTGCCTCTGGCCAAAGTTACAGATTTTGTATCAAGACTTTAGATCTTGTCTATTAAATCTGTAGGAAATAAATGTTAAAACAACGAGATGTGATTTTGCTGAAAGTTTCATGGAACTTTTTCTTTGCCGGGCACAGTGATTGTCTTGTCATCACCATGAGATTTGCAGGCAGTCAGCGGAGACTTGAGGAAGTCAGTACCTGCAGCCAAGAATTTACATCCTGTAAAACCACAATGTGTCAGTTTTATTCTTGTTTTTTCTATAAAATGTAATGTGTTACTTAATGAACTTTAGAGGTTCTGGTATGTGAATTTTTTTTTTTTTTTACCTTTGGAGAGAGTGTAGCTATATCCCCTTGTTCCCAGTCTTTATGCTAAGCTAACTGTTTGCTGGCCATAGCTCCTCGATAATATTAAGTATATTTATAATTATATAATTTCTTTAACCAGATATGAATTGAATTACATGATCATTTTGAGAATGTATTTTCATTTAGGTTCTCAAGAGCTTGACAAGATATTAATGCATTAAAAGAAATGTGATATCATCTTCCAAAATGCTTACATACACACATGCAAACACTCATTTTATATAAGCACTTAACGTAGAATATTAATCTTTGTATCTATATGTACAGTATTTTGCATGTCCGCTTCTGTGTGCATTGATGTGGAAACAAAAATCGTTCTGCAGATGTGTATTGATTTCAGTCTAACCATTGCTGCTGCTTTCCCTGGTGATTTACACTGTAATCACACACACACGCACGTGCACGCACACACACACACACACATTATTAGCAAACCTGGGACACTGCAGTAAATAGAAGAATGATTTCACACATACACAGATTAACACACTCATTAAATCACTCATTTTTTCTCATGTTTTCTCTCCAACTTCTCACTCACACACACAGACCAAAACAAACACTCACACACACCCTTTGCTAGATAGGGTAAAAGAGAATAACCTAACAGAACATGGAACCAATATTATTATATATAATATGGTTTTCAAACTGAGGTTATACTCAATAGCAAACAATGCAACGTGGAAGATAAAGATGTTGTCGTCCCAGTTTGATTGAGTTTTTTTGAAACTTGAAATCTGTTATTTATATTTTCTAAAGCTAAGCACGGCTACAAAACAGATCAATATTTAATATAAGGATGATTTTCAAATATTTCTCAAATTCTTTTATTATATACATGATTATACTTTAAATGTATATGGTCAAACAAAAACACAGATTGGGCCTTTAATTGCTCTGACTCCTGCAACCTTGTGTGGCACTCCAGGGCAGACAAACAGGGAGTGGCAGCAGCAGTTTGAGGGCCTGATTTCTGCTGTCCTTCTTGCCAAACGTATCTCTGCTTTGAATGGATGCAGGCAAGTGGAGGAACAACTCTTTGGACTGCAGCCGCAGGACAGACAACATGACAGTTCAGGGCAGGAGCACGGAGAATGTACAATGTTCCTGTCTGTCTGTCTGAGAGGGGAAATGCCACAGTGGAGCTGCTACCTGTTACCAACCAGTAGAGTGATTTCTCCACCTGCCTGGTCTCTGAAGGACATCGACATCCAAACACACACAAACACACACACACACACACAAAGTGATGATGGGGAGACAAAGACTTGAGAGTTTGCCTGTCAGAGCATTTTGTCTTTCGCTGGATGAACTCAAATATGCAGTGTGTGTGTGTGTGTGTGTGTGCGTGTGCGTGCGACAGGGAAACAGCAGGGGATCGCGAGCAGTGACCGGTGACATACTGAAGGAGCCAGGACACATCAATCAGAGGAACAGGTGCTTACACGCTGTCCTTCCTGTCTAATCCTGCTTGCCCTCATACAGCAAAAGCTTGTTCCGTCAGTCGTCCACCTGCTTTGTCTTCTGACCCTTATCTAAAAAGTCACCCTGAGTGACAACCTCCAAGTGTTGTTTCTTTTATTCTGTACTCTTTTCCTCCCATTTTTCTGTTTTGCAGCAGCGCTAGATCAAGTGAAGTTTCTGTCTTTCTGTTGGAAAAACATTTGTACCAAACTGCTGTAAAAGTACAGAGATGTGCATCCATGTGATCTGCATGTACACAAACACACACACACACACACACACACACACACACACACACACACACACACACACACACATATATGAATAATAGATAAACTGGATCCATAGAAACATAATCAGCTACAATTGTATGCGATGGAATGAACGCCAACTCCTAAAAATAGATTTTGTCAACCTGAAGCAAAATGTTCGACAGTGGAGGAGCTGAAACTGACGAGGCCCTGTCCCAGTCACTTTTCACACACCAGTGTTAGAGTAACTGCACTTATGGTGTTGCACTTTGGATAAAAACCATCCACCAAATGGCTGTTATTATGTAACAGAGACATACCACATTTTTTAAAATTACACCACATTTGGCATCGCTGGTCATGAGTATGAACATGGCAGACTGTCTCAGCAGATGTAGATGACAGTGATCAGCCTGTCACTGACCAACTACTTCATTCTGCTTCCTTCACCCTTCTTCAGTCTCTGTTTTCATTGATGAAACACTGACAGGTGGTCGAGCTAAAAAAAACAAGTTAATGGTAGAAAACTTTGATAAAAACTTGCAACTTGGTATAACTTTGACTATATCTATAATGTAACTATTGACACAAATGAGTACAGATGAGATTTTCCACTTGGAAATAAATGGAAACCACTTTAGAGACGGGCTCCACCCAAAGCAAAATTACATTTTAGGTCATTCAAGTGCTTAAACTGACTCGTGTCTCTTCCAGTCATATAAATAATGACATATTCAAAAAAGGTGGAATTAAAGTGATGGTGTATGCGACTGCAGGAGGTCAAGGTGAATGGCTGGGCTAACAAAGCATGTCACTTTGACACTGGAGACCATAACTGGTGTCCCGTCTCCTACTAACTGCGTCAGTGTTGGTTTTCTTTCTTGTCAAGAGTTAGACGAGTAAAGTACAATACAACTTCATGTCTGCCCGTTCAATGTTGAGCTGGAACCAAGACATGGTTAGCTTATCTTAGCTTAGCTTAGCATAATATACACAGTTTACAACATCCTAGTTAAATCTCTTTTATAACGCTGATAGTGGTGACAGCTTACAGTCTCTGCGTTCTGTTGATGATGGTGATGGACTAACGGCTGACAGTTAACAAAGAGTTGATTCTGTGATGTTTATTGCTTACAAGCACTTGCTTACACACGACCTGTGGTATACGAGCCCGGTCTCTGTAAAACTATTCAGTGTAACATTGTCACATTAGCATAAACGGTGGAAACAAGGGGAAACTGTGTTAACACGCTACATCTTGTTTGTTTAATCCACACAAAAACAGACACAAACATTTGTGCAGGGGTTAGTCACTGTGCCTGGCCTAGAAATATCCTGGTATTTAAGGTGATGTATGGATTAAACAAACAAGATATAATGTGTTGATCAGTATTAGTGAGCTTTAGAGGTGCTGGTCGGGTGATTTTTTTAACCTTTGGACAGAGTCAGGTTAGCTGTTTCTTAGCATCTCTAGTCTTTAATCTAAGCTAAGCGAACCAGCTGCTGGCAGTAACTATTTATATATATATTTTATTGTTCCTTTTGAACTAGTAGTTTTTGTTGCCTGGAATTAACTGAGTAATCAACAAAACACTAGCATGGTTTTCAAAATGGCTAGTTGTAATGTTAAAGAGTCACTGCGTGCTTTGGTGAACCTGTACATCGCTGCAGTAGGATCACTGGCTGAACCACTGGAAGTCAGAAAAAACCCCAACCCATATGTACATCTTCAGGGGGAGTTAAGTTACTCCTAAAGTAGACTATAGATGATTTGTGGTGAATGGGCTTCAACATGTGTTGGTGGTCCTCGTGGTGGCAGTAGCTCAGATCATGTCTCCATGTTCTCAAGCGTCCTTCAGCAAAACCCCTGTAACTGCTCCTGATGTGCAGGAAGGATTCGTAGGCCCCTTGGGATAAAAAAGCGTCTGCCAATTGAAAGTCTGACTAGTGTGAACAACATCTTCCAGCTACTGTAAAATGATAAAAGAATCTGCAGACCCATGTCTTATAGACACTTTCCTATATACACTGTTTTGATATTGGTTAAAATTTGTTGTTTTTACTTCAGCTGAAAATGAAAATGACTATCTTTAGGCACTTCAGCTTAATTTGCAATGGAAGACTGGATGCTTCCTTTTTCAAATCTAATTTACTGACTGTCAGCAGAAACGTGGTAACTCGAGTCAGGAGTTTTTCAAAGACAATATCTGAATCTCCCCGAGGTTTTACTCAGACCACGCTACAGTGGAAAATAAACAGAAAAACAGAAATGTTTCCCAGATATTTCAGTGGTACACTGAATCAAACAGGCCACACACACAATCTATCTATTCAAGATATGTACACACAGGAAAATGTAATCACACACAAAACATGACAACACCAACATGAAGTCAATCATTATATATCTCGCTGTGCGAGGATATTATCTGAACAGAGTCATTATGGCCCAACGTGATGTACCTCCTTCTCTTCCACTGCAGTTTTTTCAACACAATGACTCTCTCTCTCACTCTCTCTCTTCCTGTCTCCCTCTGAGGTCTGTGAAATATAAACACACACACAAACAAACACACAAAAAACACTGCTCTCACACAGTCCTCAAACACACTTCCTCCCACCATTTCATCCCCCTCCTCCTCCTCCTCCTCCTCCTCCTCCCTATATTCTTTTGCTCTCTGCTTTCATTGCTCGCTTCCTCTCCCCTCTCCTACTTTCTGTCCTCTTCCGTCTCTCATTTTTCCGTCCCCTTTCTTCCTGTTTTCTTGTGGTCTGTCTTTTTCTCTCTTTGTGGGAGGTGAACGTTTTAAATCACCCCTGAGACGCACACCGTCTGCGACCTTCATGAATCACAGTCTCTTGTACCTCTTCTTTCATTTCCCCCCACTCTTCTCCTTTGTGGGTTTGCTTTTATATTCCTGTATTCCTTATGTGGGGCATCCCCCCACTCCACCCGCACCACCCTCCCTTTCCCCACATGTTGTCCAGCCAGCCTCTCTATTTTCCTCATCTCTTTCAGCCTCGCTGGCTTCTCCCTCTCTCTGTCACAGACGCAATGTGTCTCATTTTAAAAAAGAGGTGCTTTATTCCACACAGCTTAGACAGAAATGATCCTGGTTAAAATCAGACATTTTTTATATTCATTTCTTTTGTTTTCTGATGTGTGAATGGCATAGATGGCTGTTTTCCTTCATGATATTTTCTTAAGTGTTTACACAATGAAATCTAGGATGAAGACCATCTATGTAAATGTGGCCCAGTATGTTTTTTTATAACCTGAAACACACACACCTCCTCATTTCAGTGAGTCACCCTCTAAACGTTTCTCCTCTCATTTGACTCAAGGAAAATCCGAGAACAGCTTCCTGAGAGCTGTCGCCCTGCTCAACCAGCCATCCTCACACTCAACAGCCTTACACACTTAAACACACACACACACACACACACACACACACACACACACACACACACACACACACACACACACACACACACACACACACACACTCTCTCTGCACTTTTCATTATTGTCGCATGTCTTACCTAAGAGGCAGCAAAAAAAAAAAAAAAAAACACTATCTGAGAGCAGAAAATGTTCTGTCTGGAACAGTTTTCAAAAACAAAGTAAGCACGTTCAAACGCATGTAGATGAGCTGCAGCCTTAATCACCACTGAGCCCAGTTTGGACACTTGGAAGCACACAAGCTCAGACTTACCCTATTAAAAAAGGGGCACATCCCTGAAATCTTTATTATGGTAATACCTTTGCAACACTGCAAATGATAAACACACTTGCACACGCGAAACCCAAAAGCACACACATACTCATGTAAAGAAACACTTAATTCTCAGCAGGTTTCTTTTCCTTCAAGACTCAGAGTTGAAAGAAAAAAGTCTCTGTTTTTGAAAGAGAACAGAGGAAGCAGTTGGGGGGCCTGAGAGAGAGAGTGTGTGAGTGTGTGTGTGTGTGTGTGTGTGTGTATGTGTGTGTGTGTGTGTGTGTATTTTTGCAGTTAAGTAGGTGTGAGCTTGTGCAGACTCCCTGCAGAAGCTAGGACTGTGCTTAAGGATGTAAGACCAGCTCTGACTCCTGAGATACACAGTCAGAGGTGAGACGGAGTAAGTAAGTAAGAGTAGGTGTAACGGATGGAACTGATAAATGACGAAGAGAGTGAGTGATGACAAACAGCTTCTTTGCCAGCTGGGAGGAGGACGCTTTGTTTCTCACCTGCCAGAAGATGTTGTCAATGGTGTTGCCCAGGAATCCTTCTCGGTTGTCGGACGACAGCAGTTTGGGCCCCAGTATCGTCATGAACTCCTCAAAGTCCACCTGGCCGTCGCCTGGTAGCAGACACACACACACACACACACACACACACACGCACCAGAACAATAGAAAATCAGATACTCAGAAGTTTATGTTTGCAGAAAAAAAGAAAAGCACACTGACATCGATCCACAGATGGATGTGCCCTCATCCATGACAAACACTCAGGCATCTTCAGCCCTAATTCACCTTTCAAATAATGAGTGTTCACCTGTACGAGTGTGTGTGCCTGTGTACGAGCGACTGTGGGAACATTTTTTTTGTGACAAGTCCGGGAACATTTGGCAAATTTAAATTCAAAGGACACAACTTGTGAGGCTTTGCATTATGTATTCTACTGCTGCATGTTGTTAGAGATTGCAATCAACAGCCGGCGTCCCGCTCAGTGAGCATCTCCACGACAGCATGTCTTATAAACTGAGTTAGTGCATCGACCTATTATACTATATAGTGGCAACACTGATATTACCAACAATTTACAGTCTTATCTAATGGTCTATTTATTATTTGCTATAATAAGGAGCACATTAGAAGCATTAACAGTATTCTGCACAAGTGCCAGCGCTCTTGTGTTTTTATTGGTCGCAGGATAACACTTAATTTTATGGGTTTAATTTCTGAATAATTTCCAAGAAGTTCCCTTGAAAAAAAAAAAAGGATGCAATTTGGTACTAATTAAAGGGGAAATCAAGTTAGTATTCAGCTAGTACACTTGCAATAATTGAAGTCTAATTACTTGCTGTGTAACCTAGAGAGTCTTGTAGTCAGGGCACAGCAGGCCAGCTGAACATGTAGAAATGTGAAATTTGTCAACAGGTAAGCATAAAGTCCGACATGTGCAATGAAGTTAGTGTTTACTTAGGTTTAAATGAAGTCGTTCGTACAAGAAAATAAATTTTTTTCCCTACAGTCAGATGAAAATTACAGTTTTTTGGAGGGAAGTTTCTAGGAAATTACTAAAAATGACTGGGAAATTACAGATTCACAAAATGCAGTGCTGCCTTGTATCACGTCAATCATCAGTATTATCAAAAATGATCAGTTCTCTGTTCTGAAACCTGACTGCAGCTTCTCAAAAATGCAGCTTTTGAATTAACATAATATAATCTTACATTTCAAGAGCACTTTGCTCGAAAACCTGAAGGACGGGTAAGAGGATAATGCCACAGATCAGCGGATTAAGATTTCTTAAGCACATAAAATTAATTATATAAGAGACTGCGCAGGTTGTCTAACACCTGATAATGATTGACAAGCTTCAGCTAATTGCACCAGCAGTGATCGCTTTCAGGGCTTTGTGAGCGATGACACGGAGACGACAGCAGTCACAGGTAGAGGACTTTAAGGGAGATACTGTCTCTCTCTCCTCAGAACAAATGGCAGTGCTGCTCTCGTGGAGGCAAAAGCAAAATGCTTTTAGCTCTGACCTTTGATATTTACCGCGAGCTGTGGAATCAAGAGCAGGAAGATAAGACCCCGCTGAAAGATTGACTAGCTTGTTTGTGATGCAGGGACTGCTTAAGGGTAATTGCAGTCTTGTGTGAATTTACAAGCAGAGCTGAAGTTTAAGGAGCAGGAGCTCTCTTTACTGTCTCAGGGGGATTTGTTTTTGACAACTGACCACCTGCTACTGTGAATGCAATTTAGAAATGCTTTGTGGGACCATTTTGAAGGAAGCTGTGACTCAAATTCCACGTGGCCGCAAGGAAGTTAAAGAGGCATTCATTTCTGTCTTTTTGGCATCAACTGTGTTGAATTTTAATGTGATGTCAATGGAAAACACTTGGAAATATTCATACAACTTGCTTTCTTTGAAAAGCAAAATATTCTTCTTCAGGCTTGTGCACCTCATGTTTTAATACAGACACAACACCTATAAAGAAACATTATACACATGCAGTATATTTCAAGCTTTGTTCACTCTGTGTTTTTTTGCATATGTGCGTATGCACCCAAGTGTGTGTCCTTATGTAGTGCCTCACCATCCATGTCCAGTCTCTGCATGATGATGGCCAGCTCCACTTCGCTGGGCATGTAACCCAGGGAGCGCATGGCCATGCCCAGCTCCTGTTTGGAGATGAAACCATTCCCATCACGATCCAAAACACGAAACGCCTCGCGGATCTCTGCATGACAAACACACCACATATCATCACTGTGCATTTCTGTGTTTCCATCCGCTTCCTTTTCTTTCAGACATCTTTTTCCTCTTCTTGTTTTGCACGTGTGTCTTGAAGGTCTGGGGGATCTGTAACCTGTTGGTCTTTTTTTTACTGCCTTTAAAAACCCAAGGCTGGGATTTAATTGATTGAGTGACTTCTCTGGTCTTTCCTGTGTGTGTGTATGTGTGTGTGTGTGTGTCCCTATTCATTTCCTTTTATTCATTCGCATTTGAGATGCTGTGACTGACTCTGACACGTTTGGCGTGTTATTAGGAGATTTCTTTTCATTTTCACTGTTCAAGTTCATTTTTTCAAGTTGTCTCCTTGACATTCAGTGTGTTTGATCTCCGAGTTTCTGTGTGTGCTTATTACACCAGCGGTGGTTGTTTGTTCATACACTTTAAATGACATATCTTTACATTTTCCTGGCAGTGCTGTTGTAGTGCCACAAAACCATCGACATTGGACATTGAGGTGGATGGTTGTGTGACTTTGACACTAAATGCCGCATTTAGCATCCCGTCTCTTACCTCTGTTCAGCATGATTTCCTTCAATCATCATCACAATCCTTCTCTAACCGCAAAGTGGTTATAATCAATATTTTTTATATCAACAGTCAATTAAATGGCTACTTGTATGTTAAAGAGGTCACCTGATGCTGTTGTTCCTCTGAGCTGTAAAGGGTTTCAGCTCATTGTTTTCATTTTCCAGCCGACAGCTTTACTGTTTCGGCTCAGCCTCACTGCACCCATAGTGCTGTTTCCAGATGTAGCAAGTGATAAAGCTCCAAAAACCCACGCTAGGCTACCTGCTCAGCACCAAGCAGCAAACGGACAAAAGGAGAGACTAGCTGGTAAAAAACAGACCAGTGGAGCATTAAGAGACAGATATTCCTCAGGAAGAGGTAGAGACCAAAAGCAGAGCTAAAAGAGAGCGAATGTGGGACTGGAGACACAATTACAAATCAGTGCTAATGTTTCTCCATATCTGCTCGACGTGTGAATGAGCAACTGTTTGCTGACACGGTGACGATGATACCTCCCTGTTGAGTTTACAGCTTGTTGCACTGCTGCCAAGTGTTCAAAAAAATGATTGAATGCAGGTTGAACCCAGCTGTAGTCACGCCTCAACCAGATCAGAATCATACGATTCGTTTGTAACTAATGTTGTTCTTGACAACAGGGGGGAGGGAAATGACCTACAACAACCCTACTTGCTATTTAGGTTGAAGGACTTGTTGATTGTAACAAACTGTAACATACAAACTGCTTAAAGTCTCACAATTTCTCAGTCGTATGATTGTGTCTTTAGCCTTATAAAGTGTAATCCCAAAATGTAAACAGTGAGCCATCAGGTGGTGTCAGTGAGATGGACTAATCCATGCGATGACATTAATGATTAACAGATTTTAGCAGGTGTGTAGATGGTGCTGAAAGGTGCTTCCCCCGGTGCTGATAACAGGCTTTCCTGTTAGGAAGTGCTGCAGCCTGTCTTCCATGCAAATCAAGGTGAGGGTGATCTCCCGCTGCCGCCCCCCCCCCCACTCCCTTTCCTTGTTTCTATTACATCTTTATACACTTATTGCATTTTACAAACCCCCAAGGGGCCTGTCCCAATCCCTCCATGCAGCACAATCACCATCAGTATCGCCAAGAGCATTTCCGACTCTCTCCTCCCACATAAAAGGCTTCCTCCTAACTTGGACTTGTAAGTAAACACACACACATCTCACGAGGCATCAATCTGTCCGTGCAGCAGAATTACTCAACCCTCCGAGGACCTTCTTGCTAAACACCCTGGTCAATCTCCAGCTAATTACCTGTCAATCAGTTGGCAGTATCTGAGCGGAGGTGCAAGGGGGGGAAGTGGAGCTTTGGGTTGGGAGGGAGGTGATCGGATCTATAGACTCGATAAAGACAGCAGAAAGGGGGCAGAGGCTTTGCAAGTCTTTATTCAACATCTTTTCACACACGAGCGCTCCATTTTTATGTGGATCTCTACACTTCGGGGGTGGGAGAGGGTGTCATTTTAGCTGGCATTCGGCAGAAAACACAATCGAGAAGAGTAATACCCTGCCGCATGACAGAATTTAAATCACAATTTCCCCAAGACTAATCCTTTTCCTAACCTAAACAATGAATTTTACATGATGCTCATCTCTCTCCGTCTCTCTCAGGCCGCGTGTCATTAATATTCTCGTCCAGACATGCGGCTCCTTCCTTCCTCTGTGTAATAAGTCCGTCTCAGATCTGCCTCCTGTTCCTGTCTTTGCTCTGTCAGTTGCGTGAGAGCCGAAGTTCACTCGCACCCCCCATCTGAGCCTGTAAATATCCCTTACGGCTGATAACTAGAGTCGAGCACCGTGCCGCTGCCTCCCTTTCTCTCTCGCCAAATAAAGCGAGAATCAGAGGGGAGGGATTGCGAATGTGGGTGAGTGTGCAGCCTCCCAAAACAAAGTGAAATGTATTTGTATGCAGCTCAACAGTGAGGAGTACATTTTCAATAGGGTACGAATGAGCTGGTCCCTGATGTATTACTGTGCGACGCCTGTGTGCGCCTGTGTGTCTGTTTGTATGAGCGCGCAGCCCTGCCTGTGTGCAGCTGTGTATTACGAAGTCAACCCTCCAGGAGTGTACATATTCTCACTGTGATGGATGAAACGCCTCGAAACTAGAGAAGAGGATGGTGGCGATCCAACACAGGGGGTGATTAACTAGCCTTTCTATCTGTGCTAGCAGATGATCCTGGAAGAACCTTCAACATCTCTCTGAAGTGGGATTAGGAGTTTTCAAATGCTGGCAGCAAATACCATGGATATTTTGTCCACATCAAACAATCCCATTGGTTGCGTTGGATCTGCGGCTGACAGCGCCGAGATAATGCCTCATCGTAATGTCTCGAGTCTTAGAGTCCAAATTCAATTTATATAATAGCTCTACATAGGTTCAGACTACTTTACCCTTCTCACTGCCCTTGACAAAGAATCAGGCCAACTGGACTGATGATGATGATGATGATGATGATGATGATGATGATGATGATGATGATGATGAGGAAGATGATGATGATGATGATGATGAGGAGGAGGAGATGTTTCAGTCACTGTGGCTGCTCTGCTTTCAGTTCACTAAAGCAACTGTTTCAGTGAACTGGGTTGAGTTGAGTTGTGCACAAGGGACACTGGATTAAAAGATTTATGCTACAAAGTACTTCATACCAAAGCTCATTCGAGCAAACTACAATAGGGCACATGTATAAACGCAAGCAAACAGCCTCAGTTTGAAACAACGCGCTCATGCTCTCTGTCCTCACCCGGTGACAGAATTAGCTGTTTTCTTTCCCACCAAAGCAACTGATGTAAGAAACATATGCACGCATCGCAAAGTAGAAGTCTTTGTTTTGAGGTTACGTCACAGGATCGGTTCAAATCAGGACCCAAGTCTAGATACTCACTGAACACATCCTGTATAGCGCATGGAGATAAACCTCCTCTTTGTCGGTTGAAGCCATTTTTAAAAAAGGAAAACTGCATCAAACCTGGGTTTTATTTTCTTAGCTGTGGCCATTGCTTATGATAAATGTTCCATTTTACCGGATCAGCTACCACATTATTTGAAGGTAATAATGAAAGTGAGCGCACTCGACATGATGCTAATAATAACTAATATAAATGCAGAGGAAAACTGAGTGCACACAACTACAGCAAATACTGCAGGTGGAAGCTGAACCAGAATGAGGTCTGTGTATGTCTGTGTGCTGTGAGAGACATTTACAACGGACCGAGTCGCAATATTACTATTGGGCTTTTCTGAATAATTAGACTATCCTTGTTTACAACCTGCCTGGGAGCCAATTAAATGGAGATGAAATTTAGCTTTACAATACATCAAATGGTAGCATTTATGTTTCATATTGTACATGGTGCCGTACAAATCTCACGATCTATTCTTGGAGATGCTGCAACTTTCCAAGATCTTAGGGAATTACTTTGTTGAAGACAGTTTTAGAACCAGTGGCCAGAGTTGTGGCAGTAATATCCATGTTCTAATAAGCTGTTAAGTTTTCCTTTAACAATGATGGTGTCATATCAGAACGAGTCCTTTTAGCAGAATGATGTAGGAAAAAAATAACAGAAAAGGAAAAAAAAAAATCTAGGCCATGTGATGACATATAAAACGACATATTTGTGTTTTAAAACAGCTACACAACATAAACAACAGATGGCTTTACTTTACCTCAAATGCCTCAAAAGTGCAATACATCTACAATCTATTTGTTTCTGATGACATCAATTCTCATGCAAGATGGATTGAAAGCTTGAATTAGGATACCAATATCAATACGTTGGTGTCCTAATTCAGGCCTGGTCAAATATATTTTATTTCTGTCAGACACCAACTGGCGTGAGTCCTGTGACTGATTTTATTTCCTAAGCACCATAATTGGAAACCAATGCATCCAGTCAAGCGCGGACAAAATGGCTAAACGAAAAAACTTTTCCCCGGGAGACCTGGAGCATTGTAACTGCATTGTTCCAGTAGTGAAACATTAATTGCTAAAAGCTCACACTTTACCCAGCACCCCCAGCACCCCTCACCTCCCTCCCTCCCTCCCTCTCTCTCTCTCTCTCTGTCGACACACTCACCTCCCAGCTCCTCTGTGGAGATGCTGGTGAGCTGGAAAGCTTCACTGCCCTCTGTCAGGGAGCTGCTCAGGTAGTTGTCTGGATAGAGCAGGCCCGCCCGCACATGGTGGAATGGCATCTTCTCCCTGCAGAGCGCGCACACACACGCACGCACGCACACACACACACACACACACACACACACACGCGCGCGCACACACACACACGCGCGCACACACACGCACACAAAATCACACGGAGTCTAAATACACTTTTCATGACTGTGTATGTGAGAATGAGAAAACTTGAGTTAAGACGGATGTGTGTCTCAGTGCGTGCATGTGCATGTGTATTCAAACCCTTTCTACCAGCTTGGTCGTGAGCCCCTTTTAGAAACACAAGCTCCTGTGGAGGGAACATTGTTCCTTCCACTCTGCTAATGCTCATTTCTGGGAGAAACCACTGTCTCCTCGTGGCAGAATCACAGTGACAAATTATGTAATCACATTATGATTCAATGGAGTAACAAAAAAATATTCCACTGTTATTGTTCCGATAAATACCATCAGAGGAGAATAAGGAACTCAGTATTATCCAGCAGTCATTCTCTGGCTGTGTTTCTCCTGCTTGTTCTTTGTTCAGTCCCATCAGTCCACAGAGGAAAAGCACAAGTCCTGTCACTATCGTTTCGTCCCCCCCCCCCCAATCAGATCTACTGACTTCCTGTCCCGCCAGACAATCCCCACTGCCACCCAACACCTCACCGAGAGACCTCAGGGCTTGACAGGGCATCAATCAACCATGGCCCCTGCTGTCGTATGATCAGAGCGATTCTCTGCTTTGATTCATGAGCGTTGTCCCTCTGAGGGCTTTCCCAGTGTAATATTTTGACACTTTGGCAATATGCTTCAAGTAATATTCCTGCTAATAGTACACGGGGAACTGAACTGAGGTGAGGGAGACATAGAAAGATAGGCAGGGAGGAAGAGATAGAGATCCCAAGAGTATTTCGTGAGCGGGCCGCTGCCAGACAGGAGAGATAGAGATAGAGGTGGGGATGTCTCTGTCAGAGGAAACATGGACAAAGTATAAACAACCTCCTCTCCTCTCCTCTCCTCCTCTCTCCATTATTCGAGACTTAAATCCTTTGTGGATTTTGGAATCAGAGCCCAGGGTGGAAAAGGACACAGGCTGAGTATAGAGACAAAGACTGTGTAAAAGGTTAAGAGCCATGGGATAGGTGCAAATCTGCTCTGGTGATCTGTAGAGGACACCAGGTCCGACAGTGGCAGTGTGTGTGCAGACAGGCGTGTATCTGTACATAGTTTGTGAGCTCTGAGGAAATTTATTCTTCAGTCCATCTGTTCCTGGTTCCTACTCTTGTCCCACCTGCCCATTAAAAGTACTCAGGTCACCATGGCAACATGTATCTGTTCTACTGACATGTTTTAGGCAAGAAGATGCAAACACACAAACACATACACAAACACACACACAGAGTAATGTGCCATTACAAAGCACAGAGCAATAATAAAATTGCAATGTTTCGATGTGATCTGGTCTGATATGAGCATATAGCATGATGGCTAATGTTAGCTACTGTTAGCAACTTTAGGTATATGCTGCTGTGTAACTGATGTACGTCAGTCTGTTGACTTAAAGACTCCTCTGTCTTTGTGCTACTGCTGCAACACATTTTACCAGTTCTCCATAACTATCACTTGTTAAAATGGCTGCTGTTTCACAAAAATTACATGTTGAACCTGTTAACATCAAAGAAGCACTGCCACATTGAGATTTAATTAATTTAAGATTTGATTATATTAATAAATAAGTCGATCACTGAGAACATTGGCCGCCCCTCCACTACATTTTACCTTGTGTGGCATCAGGTTTGCTTTACAACACGAAACAGCACAAACATCTTTGTTTTTCAACAGGGTTTAAATGAAATGTATGTGCACATGCTTGAGTAGATGTGTTGGGAATATGAGCAAATTTTGTGTCACTGGTTGTTCAGTTAAGCTGCCAGTGTGTTTCGCTAGAACTACTTGTCAGATGGTCGAACCCCCTGCCCCCACACCTTTCTGTTGTCTGTGAAAGTAAATCAGCATGAAGCATGAAGATTGATCATTTATTCACATTGACTGTATGTTTTAATCCTTAGCCCATCAGTGTTTTGTGTGTTTATTGTGTGAGTGTGGCAGTTCTCACCACACATCGGATTAGGGGCACCAAGGCCGACCGTTTCTGTAACTTTCCGAAACGGACGATCCAACACGATTAACATACATGACATCCACGTCACGCTGTGATTTGCCGGCTGTGCTGAGCTGAGAAAAGAGCCATGGCTCGCCCTCCTTCCAGCTCTCTTTTTCGTTCTTGACGACACAAATACAGATGGGTGAAAAATTAGAAAAAAAAACAACATAAATTGTCTTTTAAGGTGTTGGGCCACTGCGTGCCGCTAGGACAGCTTTCGATGCACATCAGTCCAAAATCTCCCACAGGTGTTAAATTAGGTTGAGCTCTGGTGACTGTGAAGGCCACAGCATATGATTCACGTCACTTTCATGCTCATCAAACCATTCAGTGACCCTTCGTGCCTTATGGATGGGAGCATTGTTGTCCTGTTTCTCCACTCATTTTTCAGGTGTTTTCTTTAATTTGTCACCCCTCTGCATTGCTGTCACTTTTCATGTGCAACACAATGAAAGCCTTCCAGGTGAGACTGTCTGAAAAAATGGCACCATGTGTAAATGCATCCACCCCCCCACCCCCCGGTCTTTTCAGCCCACTTCTGTCTTTTCACCCCACCTTCAAGTGTGACCTTTGAAGCTGCTGTAAACACTTCTGATTTCCAATGTGGTCAAACAACATGTCGTACAAACTAGTTATTTTCCAGCATAACCTAACTCTTAAGGTGTTGGTGTGTAATGTGCAGATACCATGGATTCATGCATGCATATCATTTATTCACATGTATGCTCACATGCATCCAAATAAAAGGTTTATTTGTGGGGGGATTTCTGCAGGAAATGCGCATGTTTAAATTCCTATGGGTGTATTAGTGCATGCATGTTTCTATGTTGAGCTGCAGGGGAACATGCTTGTACATGTATATGAGGTTTAACATTATTATTTTACCAACCATTGCGTGGTGGTGGTAGGGATGATTTGCATTTACAGGAGGTACAATATATACAGCTTGTCAAAATGTATCAGTAATCTCTTGTGCATTTACAAGTGAATATATTTATGAAGGAAATTGATGATGAAAGATTTAAGATTTAATTGCTCTTCAGTAAGCTACAGAAGGACCCTGATATTCCTCAACATCTCAAATTTAACAGAAATTATTTAAATCAGTGGACAAATTAATAAGACATATGATGTGAAATTAATATGAGAATGTATTTTAACAGTCCATCTGCTCAAACAATTGTTCCCCTGACAGAAACACCCACTCACTCGTGGCAAAAACCAGCACACACACATACAGATCAAACTCAGTCACACACCGATCCTCTCTTCTTTTTCTTTTTCCCACTCAACCCCCAATTTTATTTTTCTCCCATATATTTTTGGATTGTGGTTTTTCTGCTCATGAAAACACACGCGCAGAGACGGGCATGAGAGCTGACAAGGACAAGCTTGAGCAGAAAACCTTCATCTGATAAGCTTTATCCCCTGAGAGCAGGAGGAAGAGTGCCAGAAAGAAAGAAAGACAGACAGACAGGTGAGAGACAGAGAGGGAGAGAGAGGGAGAGAGAGAGAGAGAGAGTGGAGGGGGGTGGAAAGGGGATGAAAGGAGCGAATGGAAGTGGGCTGACTGACAGCGTTTGAACTGTGGGGTCACCTGCACCCCAGGGGAGTCTGCGGGATGGCGATCAGAGCGAATTTAAGCTCAGAGAGGAGAGAAGAGGCTGAGATGAAGGGAGAGGAGCGACCGAGATTGAGCCAAAAGCTGGCAACAGGGAAAGAGGAGACTCATGCTTTCTTTCTCACCTCCCTCTGTCCCCGTGGAGAAAAATGCATTAGCAGAATGACAGAAAAGAGCTGAGGGGTCACAACAGTATATTTCCCAACAGCATACGCACAACGCTGCCATCACAAGCAGGCGGCCCTGCATGACAAGACAACAGTATTAACAGAATCAAGCCTTATCTGCCACATCAAAGGAAACAGGTTGTTGCAACTGCGGCAGCCACCAATTAACCATGAAAACATGCAAAACTGTTTGATTTCCCCTCATCCAAGGTGCTCTCTGGTATGCATGACGTCTGTTAGCTGCCCAGGCGGATGTCAAGATAAATCAACAAATGATTATTTTTACTTGAAGCCACTAAAAACGTCAGTTCACTCTCCACATCTTCTCCAGTTTGGGAGAGAAGGGCCGTGCTACCTGCCAAAAACAATGAGACCACAGTGGATGAGCTGAGCTTGTGTTGGATAAAGCTAAACTGCAACTCTCTGATTTGTCACATAAACCACAAAGACAAACAAGATGGGCATTATGCTTCAAGGTGCAACCATCAATAAAATGGCTTCTTATTAGATCTAGTTAAACCAGTGATAAAAAAAATTATCAAGACTTTCCTGTCTCTGCTCAATGTCAGTGTCCTATTAAGTCACCTTGGACAAAGATAGGCAGCCTCCACACGGCTGTGATCTCTGCTGTCTCTCTCTTACCCATCAAAGTCGTACTCTAAAAGCATTTCCTCAGGAGAGGCGCTGGATGGGCTGCCCATCTTGTCGCCTACAACCGCCTCTGCCGGAGGTCAAGCTGGGTCATCCAACACGCTCTTTAGTATCTGACCCACACCGTCAGCTGCGCCACTGGAATAGCTCTGAGATGTGGGCGTGTGCGCCCTTGATCTTCCGTCTGGTGGCCTGTCGTTTCAGGCTTTTGTTGGATGTTAAAAGAGTCCCAGCTGACAGGGAAAGAGTTGGACACCCATGATGGTCTGCCACGCTGCGCGCATCTGCAGCGGAGGGAGCGCAGCTGGACTCACACCGCCTGCTGCTACGAGGTGCTGCTACATCATCATGTCACCCTCATCGCACTGAGAAAAGGGTGTCCGAGAATTAAAAAAATAAAAAATAAAAACTCATGCGCGCAACCCCCCAAAAATGCTCGCGCGCGCGCGCGCGCACACACACACACACACCCATTGTACCACACACGTATTGTAACACCCTCCATCTCTTCCCATCCACAAGCAGGTCTGCTCCAGGGTTATCAGATGATGAATATGTGTGAGGCAGGTGACAGATTTGACCATTATGCTTTATGACTGTGGAGTTTTAGAGCATCTGGTAATGAGAAAGAATACAACTGAGCTTCAGACTGCAGCCAGTCCCCATTTATCACAACCAATATGAGCTGCTTCTGCCTGAGTGAACAGTGAACAGAGGGACGGTTGATAAAGCCACAAAGCATGATGTATAGTGTGTGATGGAGTGCTTTACATCCCGCTGCGTGTTGAGACAATTATACTGCAATTATACTTATGGCGTGTGTGCCATGGACCTATAATCACCTAATCACTAATCACACACATCAAACCCACACTGCGCGCACTGACGCGCGCGACTCACACACACGCAGCTGGAAAGAGATTTTCAGTTTTCAGCTGTTGAAATGGACGCAAACAGAGACAGGCATCATTCTGTTGTCAACCATTAAAAACAACACAGCCCATCCAGACTGTCAGCACATATATGGAGGTGTACTTACACACGCGCACACGCACGCTCGGCACATTTACACAGATTACAACAGGTGCAGTCGCCAGCGCGCGGCTCTGCGGCCATCAGCGGGACCGACGCATGGGCGGTCGGTCGCGGTAATCACCTTTATCACCTTTAACATACCAGCCTCGAGGTGACACACTAATTAACGGACGGGGTAGCGCCTACCTGCCTGTGAAACGACTGGTCCCCCGGTGCCGGTGTGAGATTCACCCCGCTCGGTTAGAACACCGTTGGCGGAGATGCTGAGGGTGTTTTGAATTGCCAAGATGTGTTTAGTCTGTTTGCATCCGTCCTGTGCTCTTGAGGAGTCCGTCCGACAGCCAAAGGTGGACTCATTCAGTCTGTGTGTTGGACCTGCCTCGGGGATTCACCAGTGTGTCATGTGCTCCACACTTTTTAGATAGTTATTTCAAAAATATCAACTGGTTAGGTGAGGAGGAGGAGGAGAAAGAGGAGGAGGAGGGGGGTGGTGGTGGTGGTGTGAGATGATTCTGTCCGTTTCAGCTGAAGTCCAGACCCACATGAATGGCCTCCCATCCGTTTTCTACATCTCTCTTCTCATCGGCATATCTTGAGAATTTGGGGTGTTGTTGAAGCAGCGCAGAGTGCCAGATCTTCGTCCTGTCAGCTCGCCCAGACGGACGCCACCCAGCCGCCCACGGGTCTGGGTCTAAGAACTGGTGTTGGTTCCGCCGCTGCCGCTGCTGTTGACGGTCGCTTCTTATGAAGATGATAAATCACGATTTAAATTCAATCTGCTCTGTCGAATCAACACGGAGAAGAAAGGACGAAAGCTTTGAGCGCAGATCGGTCACACAGCGGAGGGATGGGAAGGGATCTCCCGACGCTCCCGGTGACAGAGTTAACCCATTTATCGGTCCAGTCCGGTGAGGGAGGGGCCACATGGGGACCACGGCGGCAGAGGTGCGACTAGGCTATAGGTGAGCGGGAAATATGCGACGCCGTGGTGCTAAATGGGAGCTGCCCTCCTCGCAGGTGTGTGTGTGTCTGTGTGTGAGAAAGAGAGCGAGAGCGAGAGAGAGAGAGAGAGAGAGAGAGAGAGAGAGAGGAGAGAGAGAGAGAGAGAGATGTGAGGTCCGAGCAATTAAGCTTGGCTCAGTGAAACATCTCCCCTGGGGAAGAGTGTGTGTGTGTGTGTGTGTGTGTGTGTGTGTGTGTGTGTGTGTGTGTGTGTGTGTGTGTGTGTGTGTGTGTGTCTCTGTTTTCATTTATCTTCACAGCTTTCAGTCATTGATGACCAATTATGGTGCTTAGGAAATGACATCAGCCGCAGTACTTAAATGATGCAGTGTTTTTTTAACCCCCCTCCTTTTTCCTCCCCACCACCCATCTTAAATTCTCATCATCATCTTCTTCTTCGTGGGTAAGAACTCAAGATTCCAGGAACCTTCCTCCACCCATGCAATACCTCATTGTTACCATGTCGTCCTCTCCACCTCCTGATGTGTCTCCTGACCGGGCTGTTTTTCTCCCCCTGCCTCCGATTAGAATACCCCACCACCATCACATTTACATCTCCTATACTAATTATATAATAGCCTATGTGAAGCTTGTGTGTTCCCCGCCGCAGCTCAACTGCAGTCTTAGCCTTGAGGTTGAAAACTGTGTTTCCCGCGCTTCTGTGCCATTATAATTAAAAGTGGTTGCAGCAACTTATTTAAGCAGCTAGTCTAGTCCCCTGCCGCTGATTGCGATGGGTTAATACATTATGTGTGCGCCTGGGGGGGGGGGGGTGGGGTGTGTGTGTGTTGTGTTGTGGTGGTGTGTGGTTGCAGCTACTACTAGGAGTGGAGGCTTCAGTTAAAAGTAAAGATAACACAATTGAGTCATGAATGTTTCACCCTGGTTCTCTGACAGCATCGTGGGCATTTCTAAAAAGTCCAACCAAGGTTTTCAATAGATTTTCTCCAGGTTCATGAGATGAATCTGAAATACAAGGTCTTTAAAGGAGCCCTTTACTTCTCACAGAACACATGTCAAAGAGGTAGAGCTTCTCGGAGCACGTGTTTGTCTGTGGTGCTGATTTTTTTTTTTTTGGCGCTGTCCGTGGTGCTGACGGGCTTTCTTCAGCAGAGGCAGGGCGAATGAAGGTGAAGTGATGCGCCTCATGTCAGCATTTCCAAAAAACGTAACCTGCATGACTCAATGACTTTATGAGAGTTAGATTAGATTTAGCTTTATTCAAAGGCACAGGGTTTGTCTGGAGAGAGAGTTAGAGGCCATTTCCTTTTCATACATCAGCCCCAATTCAATAATGAATGCATCAATGTCATTTAATAAATATACAAATATCTCTGAGGGTTGATAAGCTCATTCATTCATCATAATACTCCAATCCATACAATGCACTTTGTGATCTCTTTCTGACTTTTTGAATACCCAAAATCTTATATAATAGTAACAATAATAATGAGAGTTGAGGTGGCAGATCTGGATCCTGCAGCTCGAGAGTCAGAGACACCTGCATAATGAGGACATGGAGAGAGAGGACAGAGACTACAAGCACAAACTACAAGAGAGAGAAGACACAAAGTTAATGATACTGTGTAGTGTGCAGTAGTGTGATATAAACGCACAGGGAGAGAGACAGAGAGAGAGAGAAAGAGAAGAAAAAGAAGAAGATGAAGTGCCCAGTGCATCATGAGAGTTCTCTGGGCAGTCTAGGCCTATAGCAACATAATTAAGGGATGGTTCAGGACTCACCTGAGCGAGTCCTAACTATAAGCTTTATCGAAAAGGTAAGTGTTAAACTTAAAAATCTTAAATGTAGAGAGGGTGCCTGATCAGTTCTTCATCTAAATCTCATGGTGATCATGAAGATGAATCTAATTAATAGTGTGGGGTGAGTTGTGCGGGGTGGGTTGGTCATACACTGGATATTTCTGAAAACATGGAAAATCTGCGATTCATTCACAAAAGACAAACAACATGTCACATAATAACACAATAACAATAGAAGGGCACTCAGAAAATCAATGCCAAGGCCAATGGCAAACAACATACACTAGACTTCAGAGAAAAAAATTCAGATTCATAGAAAATGTTCTGAAGCTGCCCTAAAATCAAATGAGTTCTTCCCTGAATCAGGCCCCATCCCTCCACCAAGTTCGGTGCAAATCGGTTTGTGCTTTTTGCGTAATCCATCTGACAAATAAACAGGAACGGGTGAAAAATGTCAGCAGCTCCTCTTTGTGTTTCCTTCACTACAAACATCTCCACTGTGTCAAAGAGCTTGACTTATTTTTAGCCTCCTGATTCACTGTGTTACAGTTCCCTGCTGATTGACTAATACACCTCACCCTGAGGATTACACGGATTGTACATTCACAATTGGATCCTACCAAGTGACCTGAGAGAATTGACAATTGGCAAAACCTCATGTGCCAAAAAGAAAAAAAAAGAAGAAAAAAAATAAAAGCAGGAGTCATGGGAGGAAGTCTAAACCATCAAATAAGAGCCACAGGAACACGCTAACATGGACTATGTCCTCACAACAAATGAATGCAGGGAGTCATGTCAATATTCACAAGTGGCTGCCCTATTTTTTCTGTAACGTTTACTCTGCCAGACCATTTATTGTTGACTAATGGAGATATGTTTTTATCCTGCCTCCTGAGCTTTAATCACTGAATCAATGAGACCATGACTAAACCAAAGCCTGAAGTGACAGACTTAATACTCCAGATTTTTATAATTAGATTACTGACAGAGAAGAGTGCCAAAAATATAAGGGAATGACATGTAATATAAGTGAATTTGAACATGGACCTTCCCCCAGGACACACAAAGTCTGAAATCAAGTCAAATATATTCAGTCAATAAATTAAATAACAGTATTAAATGGTTCATGTTAAAAAAAGAAAGAAAGCTATGCAGTGGCAGATCAGAAAGTGGAATGAGGCAGAATGAATTTACAGATTGAAAGAGTCTCTGCTGAGGTCACAGTACAGCAGTCTTTTGAACGAGAACATTAGCATTTCAAAGTTCATGTTCAGATATGGCAATTTATTTCCTCCACAAGACTGAAAGGTGATGATAATGTGCTGTTTTAATAGCCTTGTTCAGGGTGTTGTATTTATCAAAATGAAAGGATTATCTTGAAGGGTGCCAATGTTTGTGATTTCAGCTTAGAGTTATGTTGATGAAACTCAAATTGGAGATAATAGGAAATGAACTGTAACTTCCTGTCTCTACGCTGCAGTGCAAAGCTGTAGAAGACACCGTCCTCTACTGCGCGTACTTTAAATACTTCTTATATAAATTCTGTTTACTGTGTTGCGACTGGCAGAGGAGCGGCGCCTTGATCTTGTTTCCTGCTCCCTCATGAAGTGGGAACATGGCAGCGACGGGACCATGAGAAAAAGCAGATTACGGTTTCTGATCACAACCCTGCTGTATAATACATTCAACGTCTCTCCAAATCCAACCTCATTTTCATTAGCATTTAAATATTGTCATCATCCATTCCACTCCACATCCCTGCCATGCTTATTCCAACTCCTGGAGCCGCGATGACCTTCCATGGGGAAGAAAACAGGATCCTGTCAGCTAGAGTTTTGCGCCATAGGCATCACTTGAAAATTAAATTTAAAAACCCCAAGCAGGTTAATTCACATTCAGCTATTTAGCCAGGATTGTGTTCAGGAGGAGATACTAAAACAATCAGCAGTTAAGTGCGATATAGAGGGTTTGTGTGTCTATGTCTGCATATGTGAAGAAGTAAAGTGATCGGGCGAATGAACAAGAGACACATTGAGAGTGAGCAAGAGACAGAGATCATGTGAAATCTGTGGTGAACAGGTGACTGCTGGAACTGGACCAGACATAAATATATAATTCAATCGATACATCAGAGCTCAAAGGTCTACCCCACCAAACAATACGCTTGGCCGTGCGCCCCTCATAAAAAATTCTATTTCAAACCGTTTCTCTCACACACAAAAGAATATGCGTCCAGTATAATATACAATACCCTGAAGTACTTAAACTTAAAGTTCCTCCCAGGAAGGTTACGTCTGCAACGCCTCATGAATAATGCAACAGTGACTGGATTTAACATCCAGACCTTTGGAGGAAAGAGTGTCTGCAGACACATGCACGTGAGCGTGAGCGTGAGAGAGAGAGAGAGAGAGAGAGAGAGAGAGAGAGAGAGAGAGAGAGAGAAGCCAGCTGCTTGCAGATGTGTCGAAGAAACATTAACCAAGATAATGAAAATTATGAGGCATTTAGCAAAACACAATAAAAATGGGACTAACGTTGTGTAGGTCGTGGAAAATTTGGGCCGAGTAGAAAATTAAAATGGATTTTTGGCATTGTTTTGTGTGAGGCACTATGCCAAGGAGAGAGGCATCCTGTCCATGGTGGAGTAGTTCTGTGTAAAGACACTACATGTTGCAAAAATCCAAATAAATGTGTTGCTATGTTACATAAAGAATCATGAGTTGTGATGGGTGTGAAAATGAGACTATTTTTGGCACCTAAAGTAAGGGCAAGATAGTGAAAAGGCAGACAAATGTTCCAAATGTTTAACAGGTATTTCAGTAAATAACATTTGTACTTTTTTGTAGATACAGAATACATTTTTAAAGCTATTAATATCTGAGAATGTTTCATCTGTGCTTTTATGCATCAGACATGATGTGATCACCATACATTACTGAGGAGTATTACATCAGGCGATATAACTTTGATGAAGTAACAGTGCAGTTTTGAAAATAAGGGATTCTCAGCCCAAGTTATGTGCAAACAGAATAAACTATGTTCTATGTACTAAATGGATATATTTCAGCAGAACCATCACAGCACCACCCGCCATCTTTCCCCCAACTTTTTTTCCATCTGCACGAAGCTCCTTCATTTCCTCTTCAGACTGAATTGTGGAGGGATTGTGTCCACCAACACCACCCTCAAAAATAGAGCAACTTCAAATTGTATGGTCATTAGTAAGTATGTTTGATCTAGGCATTTTTTCCCA